ATTAGTGTGTACTTCAGAACAGCTTATGAGTTTTTTTTAAGCCTTCAAATGAAAAAACTTATAAAAAATCACTATTTGCACTTAAAAATGGTAAGGATGGTAAATTTTATGATATATGTTTTTTATCCCAGTAGAAAAAAAGCACTATTTGACTCCCAACATTATATTTGAAAAATAAACATAACTTTACTAACAATTTAAATCTAAAGTGTATGTATGAAACTGCTTACAATTAATAAAACTTATTTGTTTTATATTGTATAATCCTGTTTGTTATTTGTAGCTGTGCATCTCACTTTTCATTTTCTCTGACTTAACAACACTTTTTCTTAACTCAGACTTTAGTATCTAATTTGCACTATAAGACATAATCTTGAAATAAACTTTTACATGAAACTGAACAAATATTCTAATACCTCCAACAAAATTTAAATCCCTGCTTGCTTTAAATTTAATTTAAACTTAAAATTATTATGAACTAGATTTGTTTTTTGGTAACTAAGTTCGGGAAAGACATTTTAAAATTAGCACATATTTTCTGTACATTAAGAATTTACATAAAGTAGAAAATTCATTTTTAAGACTGAAATAGGTATTTCATAATCTCATAAATGTCTGAAGAATACTCTGCATTAAGAAGTAATGAGATTCAAATAAAAATAGCTAAGTAAAGTTGATTTTAATACAGAGCTATTAAATTTTCATAAAAATGTTCTATAAATAACTTTAAGAAATATTTGTATATTTTTACCTCATTATAAAAAAGTCACACATGAATAAGTATCTTGATCATAAATGAGAGGAAAAAAACTTTTAATACTTATTCTTGTTATCTGCCAAAATCCAATTATAAATAATAATTTTGATTTCTTAGCACAGGTTAAACTTCTTAATACTATGCCATGTATTAAACTGGTCTTCTCACTGGACAGCTCAGAAAAGAGACTATTATATATCATGATTTAAACATGTTTAGAGAAAAGTTACAAAACAATTGGTAGGGGAAAATTATTTAATAAACAGAATTAGGTTAGATGGTTTCAATTTGGAAAAAAATTAGTTTTAAGATATCCAATGTACGATAAATACCAAAATAAATTATGGGTGGATTAAAGAGTTAAAATATTTAGAAATCAAATAGTTAAAAGAAAGGAAAAAAAAAACAGACCTTTTTATCAAATTTCTGAATGAAGATGACTTTTAATCTTAGAAGCAAAATATTTATAAAAAATATATAAAGGACATACAAATATATAAAAATATGTGTGTATGTGTGACGTGTGTGTGTCCAAAAAGGAAGAGGATAATATTTTTGGTCAAAAAAAAAAACCCTAAAAAATCTGAGTTACATATATATACAAACCAATTAAGTACAAAAACTTACCACTCAGGTAAAAATAAAGAAACAGGAGATAGGGAAATTAAGTAGAGAAAATTTGCCAGAAAAAAGTTAATATTTTCCAAAAACAGCCCATATAATTGGATAATAAAACAATATGTCCCAACCTGACCCACACAAATGGGCAAAGAATATGAACTTAAAAGAAGGCATTACAAACTCAAAAATCATGAATTCAGTCTATAAGCACACAAGGCAGTTAAAATAGAACAAAAAATTATTTTTAAATTATTAAATTAGTATGTTCAAAATACTTAAAGTGCTGATAAGAAATGCTCATACAGAAACAGTTCATAAATTTTTCTGGGGAGATTATAAATTGTTTCAATCCCTTTAGAAAGCAAATTGGCCGTATGTGCCAAGTACTTAAAGCACTGATATCCTTTGATCCAGTCATTCTATCTTTAGAAATATATATATGCTTTCAGATGTCCAAAATATGAAAAAAAAGACATATTCAAGATGAATATCATCAACATATTATTTATAATATAAATATATATTTTGAAAAATTCCAAACCCAAACTAAGCCAGTGTTGGTAACACAATACCAGAGAAATGTTTTGAAATCCATTTAGTAATATGAGAAATGTTTGAGATGTCAAGTGGAAAAACTAATGATATCAGATTATCTGATACTACAATTAAAACTTTTTAAAAAGTCATTTAAATAGATAAAGACCAAGGAGACACACTAATATGTTAATAGTGAGTATACTGGAGCTGCAGGATTCTGGGTGAATATTTTCCCACTCTATCCCAAATTTATATCACATGTTGTATGACCTTTATAAAGAAAACAATCACTTAAAAATCAAAATAATAATTAAAATTATAAATTAATTTAAAATATATAATATACCTATAGCAGCATGCAAAACTATAAATATACTTTAGTCACAACGAATTTTAAACACATTTGATTATCATTACTGAAAGCATTTATATGAAAATATATGATAATCATTTTGTATACCTGGAGGCAGTATGTGTAAAATTTTTATTTTTTTTTCACAAACTCCCAACATTTTTCTTTTTTATATTTATACATTTTAAAGGATGTGTTTATAAAAAGAAAACCTTGGGATATAAAAGAATTACCTATTCACTGAGTAATATCTCTTCATGGAGTTCTATTACAAGAACAGAAATGTTTCATGGGGGTGAATATTAATTTTAGGTCTAACATAAAAGATCACAATTAAGAAAATACATAGCTTTAAAGTCATGCTTTAAAGAAAAAAACATTTGTACTCAAACACGTTATAAAATATGACTTAAATGGATATAAATTTTATGGAAGCTAAATCTCATCTGGGTTCTCTGCTACAATGTAGTCATGTAAACTGAATTCCATGGCTCTTTTTCTTTCAGCTATTTAAAAGGTAATTGCTTTTAAAGCTCTGACCTTCTAACTATTACTTCAAAGGAGAAAAAGCATGTATGCTTTCTGTTCTCTGTTTATCTATACTTGTTAAAACTATGGGAAGTTGTTAGTGCATTCAGTAAATTCCTTTTTCTTTCTATACATCAGAGTCCTTTTAATTAGGTTAAGGGATTACAGTAATAAATGTATGTTTTTATGTATTACTTCAGCTCATTCAGAATTCCCCAATGTACAATGCTGCAGTGTTGTTCATTCAGACTATACTTTTAGAGCCAGGCTAACTGGTGGTTTTACAGCTTTCCAGAGAGATATAAAGTGTGCCTACGAACAAAGTGTTAAGTAGAACAACTTAACTGCACTCCTAAATACCTACAGGCCTTTATTTGGTTTGAAACTGAGAAGTAGCTTTGAATAAGCAGAAAAGGCAAGAGAAAAGGGGGAAAACACCTCATTTTCTAATTGTTCTTCAATGGGATGAAAAAAGTGTATTGAGCATTTGATGCAGTGAAACAATCTTAAATAAAAAGGATAACCTGTGGATGAATTTGTCTTCTACAGGGAAGACAAAAAAATCTTTAAATCAAATATATTTAGACATCACTTTTAAGAGAGCCAGATCATCTAAACAATTTAAATAATTTCTTCGAACTGCAAAGAATACAACATATTATCTCATGTAATTTTTTTTTTTTTTTTTTTTTTTTTACAGAGGACCAGTAAGGGGATCTTAACCCTTGACTTGGTGTTGTCAGCACCACGCTCTCCTAAGTGAGCTAACTGGCCATCCCTATACAGGGATCTGAACCCATGGCCTTGGTGTTATCAGCACCACATTCTCCCAAGTGAGCTGTGGGCCAGCCCCTTATCTCATGTAATTTTTTTTTTCCTTTTTGTCTTTTTTACTGACCGGTAACGGGATCGCAACCCTCGGTGTCGTGCCCGTACCGCGACCGGCAACGGGATCCCAACCCTCGGTGTCGCGTCCGCACTGCGCGCAACCAGTGAGCGGACTGGTCTCTATATGGGATCCGAACCCTCGGCGGGAGTGCCACCGCGCTCCCAAGCACCACACTCTACCGAGTGCGCCACCGGGCCGGCCCCTCATGTAATATTTTTTACTTGCTATATGCATGAGGGGTCTTCTGAAAGTTCATGGAAAGATTCATATTATCTTTCAATTCTATTTTTCCATGAACTTTTTGAAGTACCTTCATGTAAAGTAGCATGTGAATTTGGTATAGTGAACCTGTACATTATCATGCTAATAACAGGCTTCAAAACATACTTTTCCTACTTCAAACTGGATTCACATTTATTAATTTAAAAATCTTTCTGGTAATTCTAATTTCTTTTATCTGGTGCAAAATCTCCTGGAAGGAACTGCAGAATTAATTGTTCTTAAAAGAAAATTAGGCCTAATGTAGACATGATTTCCAAAAGTAAATTTAGTAAAAGGTAGAAAGCACATATGGTAGGGTGTACATATGCATATACACACTTATATACCATTTTCCAATGTAAGGCTTAAAAAAACTTCAAACTTCAATAGATCCCTATCTTGCAAGCATCAAATCCAAAGTTTTCTGGCTGGATTTACTGGCTGACCTCTCTATAGGATACTCTTCCCTGGTTGTTTGCATTGCTGACTTGCATGATTATCAAGGGAAAATTGAAAAACTGGATTCATAAAATCCCTAACGTCCTGATTTTAGCTATTAGCTTCTACCTCACTAGATATACAAAAAGCAAAATGATCAGTGTTATCTAATGCAATCATAAAGTGATAAGCAATCATAGAAGGGAAAGAAATGCAAAGGATTATAAAAACACAGAACCTGCCTAATTGAGAAGTGATTACATTATATGTGGCAAGCTAGAAATAATACTTTTATATCTAGCTTTCATACTAGGTTTTTCCTGTACATACACCTCCTTTTTTAAATGGAAAATAAGAATTCTGATGTTTTGAATCAATCTTTATATGTGGCCTCCTTAAAATTTGAAATATAATGCAAATAATAACACACACAGTTCATATATAAAATTTTCAGTTTAGTTATATAATTGTTCTTCTAAAATGAAACAGAAAGTACTCTTTTTCTCCACACCTGCATTAAGACAGTTATAAATATAATTCACTTCAATATTATTAATATTGTTCAATTATACCCAGTTGTACATGTCTCTTTCCTTTCCTCCTACAGGTCATCTCACCTTGCACTTTGGACACTTCTGGGCATTCCTCTGTCCATGCTCAATTTCGCTGGCCCAGTGACGCAACAATTTGTCTCCTTTTTTGTACTCCTTGCAGTTAACACCTTCATGCCAAGGAGAGTGGCACTTAAAACACCAGACGAATTGGCAAGTGGGGCACTGGATCTGTGTAAGGAAAAATAATATTAAGTACTAGTCTATATACTGAAAGTATCTAAAAGGACAAGAATGGTAGTGTATGAGGAAATTAGCTAAAAGCATTATAATTTAAAATATTTTCCCTTCTATAAGATCAAAACCCCAATAAGATGTGAATGTTCTTTTATCAAAGGAGGAAAGAACTGCTGGGCAAGGATGATTGGGCTGTTTGTAGATATATCAGAATTAAACACTTGGGACATTCTGGAAATCAATCTGGCTTTAAGAAAATCTCCCAAATTGAAGCACAGAGTAAAACCTGAAGACTCACTATGGCACAGCTCCACACACTCAGGCAGTCCTTTAGCTCACCTTTCCCTTGAACCAAATTCCCAGGCATTTCCATTGCTCTTCTTACCAAGCCTTGTTTCACTTTATACAATCAAAGCCCCACAGATGCTTCATTAAATGAATAACACATCAGGCCGGCTGGGTGGCGCACTCGGTAGAGTGCGGCGCTTGGGAGTGCGGCGGCGCTCCCGCCGAGGGTTCGGATCCCATATAGAGACCGGTCCGCTCACTGGCTGAGCGCGGTGCGGGCGCGACACCGAGGGTTGCAATCCCGTTACCGGTCACGAAAAAAAGACAAAAAGGAAAAAAAAAATGAATAACACATTAATAAACTGGTATATCAGCATTTGCTATGAAGCATCATCTAAAATAATGAATACCTCTGGTTTGCTACCCATCTAAGGGAGTTTAATTATCAAAATAATGCAAAGGATCCTATTAGAAATACAACAATGTAGTGATCCTGTGGCCTGCACCTAGGAAACCATCCGAAATAGGCATTGTATTTTCACTTTGTGGAGATGTATATGAGAGTGTGTATGTTCACTAAAAATATTTGTCTTTCACTTGACATGGAAGATATTTTACCTGACTCCCTTTATTTTTAATGACAGTGGAGTATCCCGTTCTCACACAGTATTTCCAGTCTTCACTCTCTAAAAACATATGAGCATAACTACTTTCTCAGTCACATTTGATTAAAAGGAATAAAATGTCTCACTACGAACGATATTTATAACTGACTATTCTTCTCCTGCACATTTCAGCACTGTAGCATGAGTGAATTTACTGACTACATTTTGAAAAATAGTTAGAATTTCTTTTGGTAAACTGTACACAATATCACTGCTTACTTTTCTGGAAAACCACTTTTCTGACAATGGAGTTTCCACGATACAGATCATGTGAGTGGCAATTACAATCATAGCTCTTCCATTTGTAACTCAAAGCACTGCAGTTTTCACGTATGTCAAAAATATTTAATACCATTCCTATGCAAATACAAAGTAACAAAAGCATTTCCGCTTTTAACTTTATATTAAAAATAGTATTTTGTCACAACATTTAAAAAAAATCTTCATGTTCGTTTATTTATTTAAATCTGTTAATGGTAATGTCTGTACTGAATATATTACATGCATTATTTATTTTTATCCTCAAAATAATACTGCAAAGTAGTTATGAACATGACACATTTACATATGAGGAAACTAAGGCTCAGGATTAACTTGCCCAAGGTAACATAGCAAGTATGTGTTAAGGGGGAATTAAACATAAGTTTGTCTGGCTCCAAGGCCAGCATACCTTTCACTGTGCCAAGACACTTCCTCTTTGACAATTACACAGAATTACTTCTTTGACGATTGACAACTTATAATGTAGTCATGTGGTTAAACTATTCAGTAAGTCAGATTTCCACATTATTACCCAATGTAAGGTGAAGTTTGAAAATCCTTTTCAAGATTTTACTCCCATAAACTGGGAGACTCCTTGGTTTAAGAAAAAATGTTACTATTCAATCATTCAAAATAACTTTTTGCCTTTTCTGATCATTAACACTAAAATAAGTCATTTTTTTTTTCCTTTTTGTCTTTTTTCGTGTCCGGCAATGGATCGCAACCCTCAGTGTCGCGCCCGTACCGGACCGGGACCGGCAACGGGATCGCAACCCTCGGTGTTGCCCCCACACCTCGCTCAGCCAGTGAGCGGGAACCGGTCTGTACGTGGGATCCGAACCCTCGGCGGGAGCGCCACCGCGCTTCCCAAGCGGCGCACTGTAGCAGTGCGCCACTGGGCCAGCCCTAAAATAAGTCATTTTTTAAAGTAAGAAGAAAGAATAGAAGTAGGTGAGCTTCAGATAATAAAACATTATAACATGTTTGTTTCCCTGTGCCATTGAACAATGAAGAATAGATGTAAATATCACATGGGGCCTTCCTTTTGAATGTAATGAATGAAACAGGGAAGAAGTTAGAAAAACATCCCTTTTCCTCATACATCTGCCATTGTATCAGAATGGCCTGAAGACTTACTTCAGTTCTCTTCTATTAGACATTATTCATAATTCCACATCACTGGACTCTAGCATTGTTCATGTTTACAAAGATGTGTTTGGTTTTTAATCAGTCTTAGATTATATTTATGAAATAAATAGAAGAATGAATGTGAAGGTGCTTTGAAACTGGGATTCACACTTTGAACATCAGACATTACAATGGTTCGAGGATCTTTGTGACCAAGTGCTGAATTATCTCACCTACGGATCTCTAATCAAGGAAGTTACAAATGTGTGATTCTCCTAAGGTACCAGAATAATAAGGAATCTAACACTTGTGTCCAAACCATGGACTCTGGCTCATAATAAACAGCTAAGTCCTATTGCAGGTCTTACTGTCAGTCCACACCAACAACACAGACAATGACAAACTGTGACCGGAGTCATGCTGCAAGCACTCAAGTAATTTAAATTCATACCTGATTATTTACTATCTGTCACTGAAAACATTGAAGTAACTATTGCCTCGCTTTGAATTAAAATAATAAAAGGACTTATAGCCAACCTGAACAACTTGGTATTCAGAGACCACACCTGAGTTGTCTCAATAATGATTTTGTGTTTTGAAGATGTCTTATTCACTCTGGCCGTAACCATGTTCAAAATTGGCCTTATATAAACACATATAGACATTAACCCTGCATCTTCCTCCACTCCATCGTTCACAGTTATTTCTCCATGTGAAGTGCCATCTCACAACCACAGGCCTACCACATGGAGTGCCTGACTTCTGAGTAATTATAGTTACACAGAAATCACCATGCTGTATCCTTGCTGCTCTATGTGTGGTTGGAGGACCAGCAATATCAGCTTCACCTGGGAGCTGGTTGGAAGCACAGAATTCATGAATCCCCAGACCTAATGAATCAAGAGTTTGCATTTTCACAAGCTTTCCAGATGATTCAAATGCATGCTAAAGTTTGAGAAGCACTGCTCTCATGTGACCCCATCTCCCTGGCCACAATTCCCTGGACCAGGGACGAATCCCTAAGCCAAAAACATCCATCCACTAGTTGGCATAGCTGGCAAGCTACCTAAGAGGTTGCTGGCATGACCTTTCTGCAGCAGGGGTGCTCATTGTTGGAGATTAGCCAAGACAGACTTTCTCTCTTGAGGAGTGAAACAAGCATTCACATACCTCTAATTTGGCCATGGAGGCAAAGACAGAGAAGAGCTGAGTGACCGTAATACAGATAACCAGAGAAAGGAACAGATATTGACTTCTGGTGAGATGACAGAGGGGTTTTCATGCCACCAGAGCTAGTTTCTGACTCTCTGTGAGGCCTGCCTGGGGACTGCTGAGACTAGTTTCCCCTCCTTCCTACTTCCTGTGGAGACTTACAGTCAAGCTCACTAACTGAGGTAGCCTGAGAAAGAGCACATCTGCTTCTTGTAATTAGAAAGAGTCCAATTAACACAATCTGTCTACTGAAATCTTAGCCTGATCACATACTCTTTGTTTTAAGATGTCTTCCTTATTCCTCCCAACTAGATTTAGTAACTTCCTTATGGAACTTCCATTCGGCACATAGATGTCTAATCTCCCTAACAGCCTACAAGTTCACTGAGGGCAAAAGCTGTGTCTCCTTCACCCTTTATTTCCTGGGTTAAGTAACAAACAACTTCTGGAACATGTTAGGCACTCAGTAAGTTATTTGTAAAATGAATTATCTTGCACACTAAGTACCACATATCAATTAACACTACTTGAATTAGAAAACAACAACAACAACAACAAACCCTAACGTATCTAAATTACGACCAGGCTGAGATGATATCACTACTTCCTAGATTACCAGATGATGCTTACTAAATATTTTATCTTTATGACATTTTACTGAACATCATGATTAATGTGCAAACTCTTTTACAAAAGGCAGGGCTGCAAATGTTTCAAGAATAAAGTTATCAGACTTAGGAATCTTGATTAACCTGCCCCAGAATCCACGAAAGATGAAAGAAATTTATATTGTATTTTTGATTTTTGAATCTCCTTAGTTTTCCCAGAAATCTGTGCTACAGGGACACTCAGATGACAAGTTTACCAAACCAGTTTCCCTAAGCAAATGATATTTTCTCTTGGCAATTCATCATGCCAAATAAACAACCCACAAAATAAAAAGAGTCCAAAACCAAAGAGCATCTGTTTTAGTCAGTTTTGTGTTGCTATAACAGAATTACCTGAGACTGGGTAATTTATAAAGAAGAGCAGTTTATTTGGCTTATGATTCTGAGACAGCTGCATCTAGCACGGGCCTGAGGCTGCTTCTACTATGGTGGAAAGTGGCAGGCAGCTGCCGGGTACAAGCAGATCACATGGCAAGAGGAGGAAAGAGAGGAAGCAAGAGAGAGAGAGAGAGGAGATGCCAGGGTCTTTTAAACAACAAGCTCTCGCGGGAACTAATAGAGCGAGAACTCACTCATTACTCTTCCCTCCCCCAGGGAGAGCATTAATCCATTCATGAGGGATCCGCCCCCATAACTCAATCACTTTCCAACACTGCCACATTGGGGATCAAATTTCCACATGAGTTTTGGAGAGGACAACACACCCAAACTCCATCAGCATCCCAGATAGTTACTTTCTCATCAACATTCTATACACTCCTATGCACATCAT